TTTCCAGGGGTCGCCCTGCAGCAGTACAAAAATAGAAACAGCACAAATATAAATATATTATGATGGTCTCCATATTATTGATGATGATGATGGTAATGACGATGGTTTTTGTTTGATAATGACGACTTATAAGATGGTTTCTATACTGATTAGAGCTCTCAAGAACTGCCCTCAATGTTGTGCTTTGCCTCTGGTCACTTCCTGTCAGCACCTGTGTGTCCAATCAGACTCAAAGCTGATCGTTTGCTCTTACTCACATTGTTCCCTTTTTTCTAGATCCTTGCTTGTGTTGTTCTTACTCTCTGATGTACGTCGCTTTGGATAAAAGAGTCTGATAAGTGAATTGTAGAATTGTAGAATATTAACAGTAAACAATAATAGCATTTGGACACTGAAACACATATCACACATGTAAACCATGTCCATTTAAAATGAATTCACATTGTGAAACAGTTGCAGTTTCCTTCCTGAGGTAGTTTGGACACGAGGTCTTTAAAAACACTGTATGAAACAAAAGAGGGCAACTTAGCTATCCTCTGAAGGTCATTCCACATACTGGGTGCAGCAACACAAAAGGCAGTCTTTCCCCATTCAGTTCTAAACCTCGGTGTTTTTCAAAGTTATCCAGTTTTGAGACCTTGTTGAATGGCTCGATATGTTTATGGACAGGGGAGTTTACCTATGAGTGCCTTGTAAATAAACAAAACACTGTGCTGCTTTCTTCGTTGACCCAATGAGAACCAGCCTACAGAACGATAAAGGTCACAATGATGAGTTTGAAATCTGTTGCTTGTGATAAAGCAAAGATCACTGTGGTATAAGGCATCTAAAGCCTTTTTTCTATTATGCACTGTTAGGATTTGTTCCTATACAGAAAACCAAGTTGCGGTCTTATTTTTCCAGATAAACAAGAAATGTGAGACCTATACGACAAATCATGATCTAACCAGATACCTAAATATTTAAACTGTTGAACATACTCAATGTTTACATTGTCTACTGTTGACAATGTGGCATTAATGGGTTCAACGTTTTGTCTTGAGAAGATCATATATTTAGTTTTTTCGGGGTTCAGTTTAATTTAGTTCAATTTAAGATGAACAAGAGTTTGCTGGAAAGAGTTAAAATCGGTCTGTAGCAATGAAAGGGCTTGAGTATTGGAGGGCGCAATGGCATATAATATTGCATTG